TCCTTTCAGTTATTTGAAATCCACAAACTTTACCAAAACTGGGTTTGATGGTTTGATTGTTTTTTCAATAGTAATAGCATAAAATATTTTGGCATTCTACTGAGATAATTAAGTGTTATTACAATGCTGTGCCTTATTCATTCCCTTCTCAGCCTCTTATGGTGACAGAAACTTGCTGTCTGTTATACATTTATACAGTCTCAGTTGGTGAGGTGTCTTGCCCAAAGTCAGTATAATGAAACCATCAACCTGACTGGTTAGTAAGCAATTATCCTGTCTAAACTTTGTTCTGCTCACTGCTTTTTTACTTCTCTGTGCCTATGTTGGAGTAATATTTTGAACAAAAATATGCTTTCTAGTTGTCCTCACAAATACACTAATATATTTGGCCACAATTTTCATGTGAAATTTTGCTTATCATTCAGCATAAACTCATCAGCAGGCTTTCAGCTGCCATGAGCACTCCAGCTCTTATTATTATAACCAGATGTCTTGTATTTTGTCTTGGCAATAGAGAATCATGTCAATGGGCTCAAATACAGCGATGACGGAAGCTGAATGAAATGGCTTGATTTATACACAGAGAGACATCTGCATTAGGTCTTATTAGCTTTTGTGTACAGACACCTTGGCCCAGGGACACCTTTTATGAAATTGCCACAGTATTTACAGTTAGGGCTCTGTGTAGGCTCAAGTGCCGTTATACAATTACCACTACTACTACTACCCTCTGGTGTTGAAACAAACAAGACCTATACTACAGAAATAGAGCTTTTTGTAGTTAAACATGGTTGCTGGATTGAACCTTGCCTAATTGGTGCATACTGTTTTTGTGTCCCTGGGCAAGTAACCAAACCCACGGTTCTAACTTTATTTTAATCACAACATATGCCTCTGGTTGCAAAAGAACGTCCTAAAATGTATGCCAAATCATGAATCATGCATCCGTTCACATACACATCAAAATGGGAAAGACTATACTGACCAATCTTTTCTTTAGGGCGTTTATTTTATTCTATTTTGGGTCATTTGTTCCTTAGCAGAGTGCTTGGTCTTTGTTTGCTGCAGCTGTCCCAGTCTGAGCAGCCTGCTGTCTCTACATGTGTCAGGAAGAGCTTCAGGATCACCTTACTACCAGTCAATGTCTCTTCAGGCCATCAGGGCTTTTAGTTTATCATGATACCTTTAGTAAAACAGAGGATTGGGCTTTAGTGTGCGACAAGGCCGTAGGTTGTGACAGATGGCGGAATGTTAAAAGTAGTGTCTTTGATTTTAACACACTTGCCAACACTTTGAACATAGATGGGCCAAAGGTAGAGATGTTGCTTGTACATCCAGATATATCAGGATAGACTTTTATTTTTTAAACAGGTGCACTATGTAACTTTGTCTGGAAGGTTCCACAGCGTCACATTAAAATGATGTACTTCTTTTTTTTTTGTAATTGTATTTATGCAGTTCAGCCCAAAAATATGTAGAAAATTAGGCATTATACTGTGAGTGGGGTCCACTGTCCACTGATCTGACTTGGAACTTGCCCTGGTGGCACCATCTGCATGTTGTTATGGAGATCAGTACATTTAATGCCATACTGTGGGAACATTCTGGGCAACCTCTCCATGGAGACAAGCAGATGGCAGACCATCCACTTGAAAAGTTATATACCTCACCTTTAAATTCATGTAGTCATTGGCATTTTGATATAATTTTGTATTGAATTCTCACATACTTGGAAAACCTTATTGGAAGTATTTGTAGACGCCTATGTGATCTTTGCATCTCTCTACTCTTAAACACTTTCCTGAGTGCTCCAGAATGTATTTGCTTTTAATCCTTTAAGATCAAAAAGGGTTACAGCCAAGTCGTGTGAAGTTTGATAGCTGTAAAGATGGAAGTCTAAATGGGGCTGCACAAAAAGTGGATGCTATCTCTATAATGGGAACTACATGCTCTGACAGACTCCTTGGTCTGAGCAGAACTGTACATATTCTGGGCGATAGCATCTGTGAGAATGTTGATGGATCGAGGAAGAGGCCGATGACAGCACTTTACACACTGGCGCTAATGGCAAATTAAATTCACTCTCACCAAGGATGTTTGGCAGGACAAGTGCTGTTTCCTTCACTTTGAGGGCTAAAATGTCTAACCCCTGTTGGAGGCTGGTCTGTGATGTGGACAGGACAGGCCTTTGGTGACACCGAATGACACTGGAAGGTCAGCGCCACTTGTATCTGTTAAATGGATCGGATTAAGTGGATGCTGCTTCCTCTTATAATACGCAGCTTCTTTTTTGGAGCGAGGTGGTGAACACAAGGAGTCCTGTCCCCTTCACACTGTGCTAAGAGCCGCTGACAGGTGCACTGAAATGTCTTTAGGCGTTGGGGAATTGAAACTACATTTACCTTACTTCTGCTTTTTGTTCAGCTGTGTCTCGAAACACTACTCTTGAATCTGTTTGCTGCAGGCGGCTTTGGTAGAAGAGATCAAAACATGTTTGTTCCCTGCAATGACTACAGTTTTACTTCCTTGTTTATTGAGATGTTTCTTTCCAACAGTCAGGCCTGAAGGAGCAGGACATATGCAAGAAGAAATAAATGTCAAACTACCAGCAAACACAATGCCGCGGCTGGACTGTAGGAGGCAGCGTGTGTGTCATTTTAATGATGCTGAGCAGGGCTTTAAGGAAAGTGTGCCTCCAAACCCAGGCTGCTGTTATTCTGGGATAGGTTAAGCTTTGGCCTTTTCAAACTTGATGTAAAACACACACGTGATATGTTTAAGGAGCATGCAGTGACTGGTGGTCTTGACCAATTAGGAATGGTTCTCCGGAGGTGGGAGAGCGACCTTTTTGTATAATTAGTTCTCTTATTTAAAGCAAAGATTTTGAGTCCAATAACTAATTAGGTGTCATAAAAGGCAAATTAAAGGTTTTTGTGATCCTCAGGGGAATCACAGCCACTCTTTTCCTTCTCTCTGTGCCAGCACTTGCCCGTACACATGTATACAGACACACATATAGCCCTCTCCTCTCTCTCCTCATTAAGAGTGTTTTTAGTTCTGTGGAAGGCTGTCAGCAGAGCACTGTTGGCATACCTGCAGAGAGCTCCCCTAACAAGCCATGAAATGCAGGTAGAGCAGTCTGTCCTTAGCCGCGCTGCCTTAAATTCCAGGCTTTTTACCTTCATTTACGCTCAACATTGGTATTTATAGCAGGTTTTGTGATCCTAATGCACAAGCTTCCAGGGGCCTGTTTTTGAGGGCTAGGGTGAGCGAGCTGGAGGGCTGGCACAAACACTAATTGATAGCTCCCATCACACACACCGCACCAATTAGCCTCTCCTTCTCGCTCCTGATAAAGAAATAAGATTGCTTAACACCAGCCGAGCATGCACTGACATATAAAACAAAGCCATAAATTTGACTAACAAGCTCTGCGATTTCTTCCACTTCTTTCTTAACAGGGCAAAATGCTAATTATGTAACATTATTGATATGCTGAACAAAAATATGAAAATCTGGATCCAATAAGGCACTTTGCTGGTCCATTTAAGTGTGTCAGGGAAAGTATGTGCTTGTGTTTGAAAGAAGTGCAAGGATCGTGTGAGCTTTGTGGAAGTGAATGAAGTTGACAGGGCAAACAGAGAAGACCAGTCCAGAGTGGAGCAGGTTTTTATTACTGAAAATACAAGCAGGCTTGTTCCAAAGTATTTGACTCACACTACATGATACAGTGACAAAGGTAAACACAAAGTTATTAATAAACTAGCTGTTGAAAGTAAATGTTTTTATGGGCATTGGACAAAATAGAGACAGACTGTAATGTGCAGTGTGAGGTTACAGTAGTGACATTTCAACTTATTATTCAGCATTACTTTCCGACCAAAGCTCTTTTATGGATGCCCACACTCACTAAACATGGCGTCACCCCCTGCCATGCAAAGTGTCCAGTTAGTTGTATTTTCTTCTGAGTGAAAGAGAGGGAGAAATGTGTTTTGAAAGTAGAGTGGCAAGTGGCGTCCACTGTGTGTTCTTTTAGCCGGATCAATAGCTCAGTGTGTGAGAGAGTGTCTTAAGAGCTGTTGTCTTGTGCTTTCAGCTGTGGCAGACCTGTTAGTGCTTCAGAGGGGAGCGCTGCGCCCCAGCCTCTACCAGCAGTGGCCTGAGGGGGGCTTTTAGTCCAAACACAAATGTCAACCACACATAGACTATTAGTGTTTAGTGCAGTTATTAAATGGACTTTATTTGTCCTTTAGGAGGCTAAAAGGCGCACTTAAAGGGGACCTGTGTGACAGCAAAGCAATTTGCGAGTTTGGTAACTTAGGTTTGCTGGTTGCAGACACATGAGTACAGATAAGTGTAAAAGGAGGAAGGCTGTAATGCTCAGAGAGTGTGTGTGTGTGTGTGTGTGTGTGTTAGCCTGAGTGAGTCCCACTGTGAGTGCATGGAGCACACTGAGTGTATGCTAAAAGGCACTTAGGCCATAACATATCTCACTGGGGTCTGGTAGCAGCGTTTTTGTGGTCAGAGGCTTTTTAAAAGGTTAATGTTAATCTATACCAAACAAAGCCCATGAGGAGCTTTTACAGCTGTGGACAGTTGAGTGAAATGGCTTTGATGAAATGGTAGGTAACTAATGTAGTGCACAGCATGCTGTAAATATTACAGTAAGCAGAATAAGCATTGTGCTCTTATCTTGTGTATACTCAGGACAGGCTCTTTAGAGGCTGCCTGCCACTGATCATGTAACTTTTGTATTACAGCATGTTCTAGTGGAACAGGTAAGTCAGGACTGCATGGTCCAATGTGACCCGTGTGCCTATCTACATGGAAGAGTGTTTTCTTTAATGCATATGAAGCAGGCGAGGCGCTGCACTGTGGCCGTGAGCGTGCACGTCCTGAGATGCCTGAAGAAGCAGGAGCTTATCAAAAAGAGAACATGAAAAGTCACTGGTGTCCCTGGCCGTAAATCACGCATGGCTGTTTGTCTCTTATCACTACAGGTGTGCCCATGCTCTCCGTCCAGCCCAAAGGGAAACAGAAGGGATGTGCTGGCTGCAATCGCAAGATTAAAGACCGCTACCTGCTCAAGGCCCTGGACAAATACTGGCACGAGGACTGCCTGAAATGTGCCTGCTGCGACTGCCGCCTGGGGGAGGTGGGCTCCACCCTGTACACCAAAGCCAACCTCATCCTGTGTCGCAGGGACTACCTGAGGTAAGCACATGCACGCTCGCACAGCCAGAGACCACTCAGGTGCTTATGTGACCTCCTGCCATCACAAAGATCGCATGTATGTTTTAGGTACCTTTCATTGGAGAGCTCTAAAACGTCTGCTGTCTCAATAACTAAAACACTTTATTTACTGATGTATTCCCAAAGCAGAAACAGAAGTGTTTTAGAACTGTCTACTTTATGACAAGAAACCCATCACAACATGCATCATGCTGCTACTGAATTGAGCTACAACTGTTCAAAATGTACAGTACAAATGTCTCAGTGGAGTGTGTTCCTGTTTGTCAGTTTAGTGCACAGCAGCCCTTCCATCAGATGTTTCTGAGAAATCATTATGTGATTCATTTCTTTACAGAGCAAGTGCATTTGCTGTAAAAGTACTGTATAGTCCAACTGTGAACCAATTCTATAGCTACAAAGACCACTGTGGTTCAATCCTGTATTGTTGCTCATACTAAGTACATGGAAAATGCAAGTCCATTAAGACTTACATTAGAGCAGAGACAGCACTCCGGACATGTTTGGATAATGTTTATTCAATTATGTTTTTCTCTTTATTTCTGTCTTCTTGTGTGTTTATATGTACCTGTTTCGGCTGGCAGTGAGGGACAGTTCAGTGTTGCTTCTGTAGATTTTTGTGGTCCCCTTTTCAGATGCCCCTACCATCTGCTTGTTAAATTAAACATGACCATTTCCTGGGCGTTAAGTCACATTCCCAATGAGATCTGAGCATTTATCTGAGAGAGAAGTCCCTCGGGGACGACTTAGCGATGCCACTGCCCTAAGCCCCCGCACCCCTATAATTCGAACCCCCACCTTCTTCCCTCTCTTCCAGCTCTGTGTCTCTTCCACTTGATGTATTCAGTTGGTTCAGAACTAGTTTGTGCCTATTTTTTTGTGGAACAGACTACAAGGTGGATTAATTACATAATATAGATCAATTAAAATGTGGCGTGACCATTGTTAAGTTTTTCATCATTTAAATAACTCATGTCTCATGTGCAATTGTAACACTCAGGATGTAGTTAAAACAACAAATAATAATTACCCTATCACTTCAAAAACTGAAATCACTGTGTCACTGTAGAACAGACCTACCCCATTAAATCTTATCCAAAGTGTGTATTACAGACCTGAGTGCAGATGATTTAACTTATGGATGTCTATGACATTTCACATCGCCCATCTCTCTGTGTGTGACCTAAAAGGAGTGGTATCCCACTTGAGAGGCGCTTAGGGACGTTGTGTTGAGGTGGCCATTACCATCCATCAGCTCCCACCCACCGTTAATGCTTTTAAGATGCAGTGAGAGGTCCACTCCGACCTGGTCCTGCACCCTGCAGGGCCACGCAGAGCAGATGAGGTAATAATAAATGGGCAAATGACCACCACAAAGCAAAAATGATGAAGCCAAGACTTTCACATGGTAGAATATGTTCAGAAAGAGCTGCCCCCACCCCTGAGCATTAAGTGTCAAACTAGAGCAGAGACAATTTCTACATTAGGACAGAGGGACCAGGGGGTCAGGGACAGAATGACGTCTATAATCAGAATTTACAATATCTAAAATAGGACTAAATAGGAGAGGCAGAGAAAGCTTTGTGCATCTGTGGTGGCCCCTACTGCCTAATGAAATCCATCCCACTCGCCTGCTCTTCAGCTCACCACAAATGCAGCGCACTTAATGGCTAGAGATGCTTGAGATGAATTCTATTATGGAACAAATTAAAAACCTTGCCTCGCGAACAGAGAGGAGTGTTTGAAAGTAGGTGATGCAGTCTCCCACCACAGCTGGATGTAGTTTTTTTTTTTTTTTTTTTTTTTGCTGTAGGACAGATAAGTTCACCTGCTGTAATTAAGTTAAATGTGTTCACTGAATTAGCCATCACATCATTAAATACATGCAGGGAATTAGATGCAGTTTAGTTATACTTAGCTGACATAGCATATTGCAAAAATGTTGTTGTTCTTTTCAATTAGTTTTGTGGTTTAGTTTTAAGATATTCAATTTTTAAATAAGATCTTACATAACATTTATTGCATAAACAAAAGAGTGTGCAATATTGGTCAAATATATTTCAATTTTTAACAATATAGACTACAAACTGTATATCCCAGGGGTGCCACTTATTAGGTCAAAGGCCATGGGACTTTGAAATGTTGAAAGATGGTGTATATATAAAGACAAAGATGTTTGCACCCTCTGAATGTGTCTGCCTTTCTAGTGCATCCTGTGTGTACTACATTTAAGTGAAAAAGTTGCTCCGTCTCCCTTCTTGGTCGGGCATGAGGGATCTAAACACTCCGGTTAGCACTTTCAAAAAGACACAACAGTTGGTGAAGGTCGAACCACTGGATGCATGCATTAACAGCTTAGCCTTTTATGAAATCTGACAAACCCACGGCATACGGGGACTCCTCAAAGAGCACTGGGAACAGGTAGAAAACTTCAAGAGGCGCAGCCCGGCCCATCTCAGCTGCACCGCTCCACGTGATACACCAGAGAGCTGGGAGGGTTTGAAGTCTGCAAAGCTCCGAGTTGAAAGAACTAAAGAAGACCATGGTTTCTCTAAAAACCCATTGTAATAACTCAATAACAGAAAGGGAGGAATACTTTATAGAGTTGCCGTTCAGTGGTGCTTCAAAACAAGTCGCGCAATCCTCTCAAAGTCCATTGTAGATATGCCTTCCCCTGAATAATAAAAGATTTACCCATACATACATGTAAGGTGCACAGTGACTGAAATTATTTAGATTCCTTCTGAAACAAAGTGGTAAAGTCTCCTACTACAGTTGTCAGCTTTTGTGCTCAAGTTTGTGCTCTGTGTAACTTTTCTTGAGTGCCGCTTAGCTACATGAAGAAGATATTACTTTGCTTGAAATGCTCCGTGGTACACCATTAAACTTATTTATTAGGTGTTTTTACTGCGAAAAAATTAGGACAATACAACATATACGTTTGTGCTTTATATTATTACAGTAGTTTTAACAACTATGATATTATTTTTTTCTATTAGCTTTAAAGGTGCACTATGTATCTTTTCCAGTGGAGATTCATCCATTTGCTATCTATCTTCGTGGAGACAAGCATGTGATGCCACCAGGCCAAGTTACAGGTCATATCTGTGAAGAGACGATCCTGATCAAACTAAGAATACATGTTTTTCAATGTATTTTTAAGCTATAAAAACAACTGTTACAATAATGGCAATGAAGAAAAGTTTAATGCTATACTGTGAAATATCCTAGTCCAAGCAATAACTTCTCAATTAAAATTAGCAGGTGATGGACCCCAACCAGAAAAGTTACATAGGTCACCTTTAAGACAGATTGAAATATGATATGTCTATTTGTATGTATTATTCTTGACATGGACTTACACATTTATTGTTGTATCCTTCAAATTATTTAGAATCAGTCAACCAGTTCAACCATTCATATGTTTTTTACACTTGACTTTGCTGTCAGGAAAACAATTTTCAGCCTTTGTGCCCAAAATAATAGTAGCAAAAAGCTTGGTTATATCCATACTTTTTTACTAGTGAGAAATGGTGGCGGTGTTGATTTTGTTTCACTTTGGGTCAGAGAATATTGATTCCTTTAATCCTAATGGCCATGGAAATTGAAGTGCATGAGCCAGTGCACTCTCACAATACATGACATATGTCAGAACAATACCTGGGAATTCAGCACAAAATAGCCCATTCAATCAAAAACGTCAGCTAAATGAAATGAATTAATGGAGTTCTGTTTCTCTCCCTGCTCTCTTTAAAGCCACCATGTCACACTGTGTTTTATATTATTGTGTTATGCTAAAAGCCTGCTTCTACAATACATGTATTCTGATAAAAGGCTCTCAACACAAGCCTTCATGTGGGGTAGAGTTGTACAAAATGAGAAAAACATGCAATACTACGTGGTGGCTACGTTGGAATTAGCACTGATCATTGGTGGTGCTCTAATTTGTTCAGTATTGTTAACCTATACATAAAATGGGTCAATTTAAATTTTAAATGCATGATAGGCAAGGTGATGAGTTAAAATATAACACTAAAATGTAATAGTTTAGCTTCTCTCAAAATAGCAGCTCTTATCGTGTGGGTCCTGTTTGCAGTGAAATACATTTTTAACTTATATAGTCCTTCATTAATACCTTGTTTTAGTCATTTACATGTGTGCAATCATACATTTTTGGAGCTCCAACGTCCACAGAGACCAAAAAGCTAAAATAAACTGCCTTCTCATATATCAGAGCTATATTATTTTAATAACACTCGGCTGGTGGTGGTGGTCAAAAAGCTTTGTTTAGTAAGTTTAGTGTTTCTTTCTTAGCACAAGGACAAGGTATAAAAGCTGACCTGTACGTAAGTTATGAGGCTTGAGACATTGGCGCACTTTGTCTTAGGTTGCCTTTAGCCTCATAGACTGTGACAGAGAAGATCGTAATGTCTTTGAACAGTTCTCTGCAGCTGTAATCTGCTCTTAGCACAAGGAGCCCAATTAAGCTGAACGCGGGTGCCACATTATAACCCAGGCCAATCCACCGTTGGCTAAAGAAGTGTGTGAACGTCCCATTCACAGGCACTTTGTTCATTCCACATTCATGTTTTAATAAAGGCAGAACAAAGGCCTCATCTCAGAGCCAAATGTGTGCCTGTGATATGAAAAACAGATAAATTAAATGAGGTCAAAACAGGTGAAGTGGCTGGGTTTATGATGTAAGGATCCACTAACTCTTTTAAAAGGGAATAGGCAGTAACCAGGGAGCATAGAGCGCGTCTTTGGATGGACATTCAAAGTCAATTACATATTGAAGTTGTTTACAAAGCTGCTGCCATTGAAATTAGTGATTCAGGAATCATTGCAGAAATGTTCCAACATTAGTAACACTTTACAATAGACACATAGGCCTATATCCACCTCATTAAGAACAAGACAACATACTAACATCAGTAACATGCAACCAAAAGCATCCAGCTCTAGCCCATACAATATAATTACATGTAATCACAGAGTATATTTATAGGTAGAATGTACCATGTGTTGTGTAAAATGAAGTGTGACTTTTTCTTCTAATTTTTTCTTTTTTCCCCCAAACAAGACTTTTGAAGCAATAAACACAAATCTTCCAATTTTTGTAACAATCCTGCCTCTTTCACAATGCAGTGTATATCTGTGAGTAGTAAAGGTCATCCCCTGGTACATTTCTCTCGGCTGTATTAGGTCATGAGGGACACAGAGCTGAAAAGGGAAACCTATCCACAGGTGTCGCACTCTGCTTGGGCCGAGGGCAGACATTAGTGAAAGAGCACGCTGGGCCTCCCCACCGAGTGTATTCACCAGCTGTATAGATCAAGTACACTCATGTCCACCTCCCAGCAGGTGTAATGGAGATGTAACAATCATCCGGGGAGCAGTGGGGCTGTAACAGGTGTGTGCATGTCACACTGAGCGAGAGCCTGTGCTGCGATCGCTACAGCAACTAGAGGGAGCCACGAGTGCCCTTTAACTTGACCTGATATGGACACCAAAGAATCACTGGCCAGCAACCTGCAAAGTATCCTCTATATTGTATGAGGAAGGTATAATTGTGTGAATGGGATATATTGAATAAGATAAGGTGCACGGATACCACGCCAGAATTGGGAACTAAACCAGGACTAAAGTAAAGCCAGAATTAAATGAGGACTAAATCAGGACTAGCACAGGATAAAAACAAGTTTACATCAGGACTAAACTGAGTTTAAAACAGAACCAAACCACAACAAGTGTGAATTCATCCAGAAAGTGTTTTTGAGGTGTTTTGGAGAATCTGGAGATCAGCTGAATATTAGCATGAATTAACATAAATAAAAATATATATTTACTAGAACAAAAATAATATACATACATAGATGACGATAAAGGGCATATAGCATGGAAAATTCCACCACTGTTCTGTATTTTAAAGGGCTCATATTAGCCCTTTTTTATACCATTTCCTGATCTATGTTGTAATGCTGTTTTCTCAGCAAAAACATACCTGTGTTTTGTTTCATTCACACATGTTCGAAACACAAATATTTAGACTCTGTTCTTATATAAAACAGAAAACACTTGGTTCCACCTTGTGATCATGTAGTAAAACAGTGTTTTTAAGCTCCATACACCTTCACTAGAATCATTTGGAAGATTTCAGCCCTGGAATTGCCAATCTCTACTGAACTAAAAGTAAACGGAGCTGTTCACTTGAAAACCACCACTTCATGACATCACAAGGTGTAACAGAGCATTTTGAACTTTGGAGATGACAGCCTAACAATAAAGGATTACTCAAACATGTGTGAATGAAGCAAAACAAAACTCCAGGTATGTTTTTGATGTTTTGATTACCATTATAACATGACTTAAAAAGCACAACAGTCAATTTTGCGTAATATTAGACCTTTAAATAAGACTCATAAAATGTTGACTTGATAATAAAGTGTTAAATTCAGGGAATCATGTCAAGGGTAATATAGTTGCCAAAACTTGGTTATTACAACATATACAGCGTTATGTTTTGTGTTTAAAATGTCTCTTTACTGTGTAAGAAACATCTTATATTGCGAGAGCTCATTGGGTGGCAGGTGTCCGGTGCATGTGAACAGCAGTGTTTTATTATAAGAGTAACTAGAGAACAGTGTGTGTGTTAAAACCCTGTGAATCTCTCTCATGGAACATAACAGCCCTGCTCCTGTGTCTCTGTCGCCCTGACTCCACTGGGCACAGACCCTAATTAGACGCAGAGCTGCTGGATAGACGCTTTTCTTTAACAAGGTGAAATACAACTGAATGGGACAGGCACAAACGAGGCACCATATCAGCACTGTGCAACTCAGTCGGAGCCCTACAAGTTTGGGGAACAAATTGTTTGGATAGCACGAGCTGATAGGTTATGGCCCTTTTTCAAAACAAGGCTGTTCTCAAAATGCTGTCTATAATAATATATATAAATGTAAATGTACGATTGGCAGAACTGCTTAAAATTCCAAATATGTTATTCTCAAACTGAATAAAGCACATCTCTTGTCATATAAATCTTGCTTTCTACCATTTGAAAATTGCTTGATAATTACTGAGACAAAATTAGGTTGTCTTTTTTTGTGTGCTTTTTCTTTTTGACACCTGGTGATGTATTTTAGGCCTACGGTCAAAGTTTTGTTATTATGTTAGAAGCAAGAAAATTGGGATGCATAAAGAGCAGTAGACTCCAATCTCTGTGGTGAAAAGTATCAGAATGTGTAGGGCTTTATATGAGTAATGAGATTAAATCACAACATTATTCTCGCATATGCTGACTGTCAGGCTGAACCTTTAGCACAGCTTTATTTTGATTACATTTTACATTTTATATACATACAGCAGACATCAGATATATGAAGCAACATATAAGGAATTATGTAGATAAGAAAAATAAATATATAACTTTCTAACAAAGCATAGTGTGGCTACTTTGAAAAAAGTAACATAACTTTGTTACATAATTCCATATATCTTACTTCATTTATATATTTGTCTTGGTCTTCTCAGTGTATATGAAATGTTGAAACTTTTGTGTCCAAACTTTTGACTTGTAGTGGTGCATTAATTTATATTTATAATTACAACTGTGGAGTCATATTAAGCTTACTGTGTCTGAACAGTTTGTCCATTCTATTTATCCAAACATGGGACTGGCACAATTACTGATTCCCTATGGCTCATTTAAGGCTCACTGTTTGAATTCTGCAGATAGACCCGTGAACTCACCGGTTTTGCACAAATGTTTCTGAATTTGCAGCGTGCTCAGACAAGCCTTTGAAGGAGATTAAACCCATGTGATCATTTTAATTAGGCCATTAGTGGAAAATTAAGCTCTGTGTCTTAACAACTCATTAACAGTAATACCTACTACGGAAATATTTGTGCTACATTGCTACATTTTCTATGTTCAGACGTTGTTAAGCTTTTCCACTATATTTTGTGCACTCTTTTATTGTATGAAGGCAATGGGAGCGTGCAGGGTTAATCGGTGTGTGTATGTGTGTGTCTTTCAGGCTCTTCGGTACAACAGGGAACTGTGCAGCCTGCAGTAAACTCATCCCCGCCTTTGAAATGGTGATGAGAGCCCGAGATAATGTTTACCATTTGGACTGTTTTGCCTGTCAGCTTTGTAACCAGAGGTAAGAAAGGAAATCCAAAAACACTGCCTTGTTAGAAAATCATAAACACAAAATATCCAGTCGCTCAAATATTTGGATGGGGTTTGTCTGTAAAAACATATCTTCCTGTTTTGTGAAAGCTCTTGTTGTAATTATTCAACATGGGTTTCTATCTACATCTATGGACAGAAGTTTGGCCATGTTTAAATCAGTTGAGCGGGTGTTAAATGAGCTCATGTTTTTAAGTGTCGGAGGAACTACAAAACACACTATAAAACTACAGACCCACCTACATGTGTGAAAAGGCATTCCACTTAAACTAACAGACAAAAACTGTATACTTAATAATTACATTGGGGCTTGGCAATATATCAGTACCTTTTGATTATCCAAATAAAAAAAGTCATATAAAAAGTCATATAAAACTTATAAGCAAGATTATCCCAGTATGTTGTTTTCAGATTCTGGGAACTGAAGATGTCATACATTCAATTGGGGGCAAGAGCCAGTTTATCGTATTACTCATGTTGTATTTTCATAAGAAACATTCAAAAGGAAAAATTACACAAATGTTAAACCTAACAATTTCCATTCATGGGAGTTTCTGGGGGCTACAACCTACTATATTACAGAAAATCTGCCTTCCTTTCTGTATTAAATATTACTGATCTATAGAATGTGATAACGACAGCAATAATGACAATCAGATTTATTTACAGGTATGGTTAAGGTTTAAGTAACACTCAATAATGTATGTACTGATAACACAAAAGTCCACTTTCTATTTCATAACCCTTCAAAATGACTATCTGTGTATTGTTTTTAGTTATTATATTGATAATAACTAAATCATTGATATATTGTTGAAGATCAATCTCCTCTCCCTCGACTATTGAGTAAATAATGAAGTATTAATTAACTAATGAAAATACTGCATTAGTATGAGTTTATACTAACCTATGTGACTTAATACAAGATTTGCCACTTTATTAAGTACACCTGTGTTACTACTTCAATACTTTAATACTTCAATTTCATGCCACTAACTCAATGAGATTGGAGCTTTTTAAATGATGTTTTCCTGCAGATCTTATTTGTAGCGAGTTGCTTTTGGAGTTTCCTTTCTATCATCTTCCCAAAACTGCTGGTTACATCTTTTTATGGTGTAAGAATCTCAGTAGATCAGCGATTTCTGAAAGACCAGGCCACGGCACATTCACACACACACACACACACACACACATTTGCTTTCTCCTCATTCTTGTGGGAACTTCGACATATGGCTGAATTCATTGTGTGAGACTCATGTATTTTAAAAAAGCACTGGAACTGGTGCACCTAATAAAGTGGTCAGTAGCCTAATTTTACATGACTCCTTGAGAAAAATAATGTAATAAATCATTAGACATGTTGTAATTATATTGAAATATTGATACAACTGTCAAATCACAATTGAATTTATGAATCAGATATATGCACTTATCTAGCTGTCAACAAAAATGGATAACCAGACAAACTATTATTGAACCTACACTGGAGCATGTATCAATACCAGAGGCTGTATATATAAATGGACATAGCTAATCTGCTGGCTGCCGTGTTACAAATAGGAAATGAACATGGACATGCTTCCAGCTCCATCAACTCTGGCTCCAATTGACTTTACATTGAAAAATTGTCACCCCCCTCTCTCTGTAACTGCTGCTGTTAACCTCATCATTTTGGTTTTAAAATGTTTATATTAACCCACTCTATATGATCCTAGTGTTTTAATGTCACTGTTTTGTCCGTAAACAAATTCCTATTCCTAATAAGGAACTCCGCTCCTATATCCGCTAGCATTGTGAGCTTCATTTGACTGGAATTGAGCGCTTAGGGTGATGTCACACTCCCTTAGTCCACTTCTTTATACAGTCTACGATCAATACTGAAAAAAAATCACTTAAAACTGACAAATGAAAGGTCTGTACTTATATCACAACTCTTGTTACTCCACCTGGTAACACCTAAAAACTGCTCATTGTGGTATCAAGTATCAAATCATTTTCTTACAGTATGAAATTGAGTTTTGGGGTTGTATTGTGACAACACACTACAGCCCTAGTCTTCTCACTGTAGCACATTGTTTTAGACCTATGATGGTATGATGTGAAATACAGTGAATCTGACATATCCAAATATTGCTTTTTACCATTAATGTGGTGTCAGTAATGGGTGCAGCGGGGAGCATGGCTGTCAGGGGTGCTGTGACCCTGCTCTCTCACACAGCACAAGCCCATTAACCTTGTGCGGGCCGCATCCAGTTTCCATAGTGAGCACCTGCTGTAAGGGAATCATGAGTGTACCTCTCCTCTCCACTCAGACCACAAGCCAGGGCTCATCTGTGCACACGTGCTACTGACTATTGCTGCATTATTACACATTACAGGTGACACTGCTATAGTCTGATATCCACACTTTAACCTACTTACATAATTACATCCTCAATAGGTGCTGGGAGAGATTCTGGAGAGCTACACCTGATGGCCGTTTTATTAGGTACATCAGACTCCAGCCAAATCTCATAAAAGCATCATAATGTTTTCTTACTGCTGTGTCCAAGAATAGTCATATTATTATTTCAGTCAATCTATGTAAAAAAGGCAATATAAAGCTAATATAGGAAATAAACTCTACCTAGTGTATAAAAAATCCTGCGCTAAATCAATAAAGAAATAACCAATACATAATTAGCTTTGGCCACTGCAGTAAGGGAAAGTCAAAAGGGTCTTAATTAAGTATGTTTTTCCAGTTTAAAAAGTGCATATTCTCAAACATTAAATAGTAAACTTTATAGTGGTCAAAGATTAGGGTGATGCAATATTGTTTTTGTGGCATTTTATTATTTGTGGACCAGACACACCAGCTCATGTATGTACTGTATGTGCATAAACTGCATTTTTTGTTTGAAAAAAAAAAACAACAACTTAAACTTAACAAAACTCTGACATTTGTAAGGAACAAAAACTCCTAAATTCAGCTAAAATAAAATAAACTAACTTGTTTTATGAAAAACTAATAAACTGTGCTGCTGGAGAAGAGCTTGTCATATTGCCAATCATTTTGAGTTTTCTAATTATCTCTTGACTTGTTTTGTGTGTGGACAGGTTTTGTGTGGGCGACAAGTTTTTCCTAAAGAACAACATGATTTTGTGTCAAATGGACTATGAGGAGGGTCAGCTGAACGGGAGCTTCGAGACACAGGTGCAATAGTGGGACCACACTCCACTCTCCACTCATCGTGCTGCACTTGGAATAGACAAGCGTTGGTCTGCTTGCCTGCAATACTTTTGGAGAAGAGCCCTTTATCGGTCCCTGAGGACTCTATTGTAAATGTTTTGGCCCCTCCCACACCCCAACACTGAGCAGTTACTAATTTCGATGTACAGTTGTGCCTGCTTTGCTGAGCACCGTATTGCTTGTATGTTTTTGTGAAGTTTGTTTAAGATTTGTTTTATTCTTTCTGACTAGGGTCACTGGAGGGTATGTACAGTCAGTTTTCTCTGTATATATAAACTGGAACTTTATTTTATGAAATGTAATGCAATTTTATTACTAGTGTGAATTAAAAGATTCTTAAATGTTCATAGTGACTTCTTTTCTCTTGTACGGAAAACCAAAGTTGGACGGCGCGACGGACCCATGTGTTGAAATGTAATCATGCCTTCAAACTGCAATGCTACGAAAATCAGCAGGAGGGAAAGTGTATTTGAAGTCGTTCTTTAAAACATGATGCAACAGAAGAAGTTTTATTACATTTTGCAGACTTCTGATGGAATTTGAAATGTTGTTTAAACTGAAGTAAATAAGATTTTATTTGGAATAAAAGAATGATTCACCAAACTGTGTTGTTTTGAGCAGGTGTCATGAAAAGACAGCTAAGCCAAGCTGCTCTGTGATTCATGCGTCGTTAATTGCCATCTGATTATGAGGGTGAATTGGCCTGGAAATGAAATGCAACAGCGAATAAATGAAAGAGAAAATGGAAGCTTGTGGAGTTTGAGCTCATTTAAAGGGAGGCGTCAGAGGTGCAAAGCAGGATTCAAAAGTCCTTCTCCCAAAAGATTGTGTTAATGGAGCCGTCTGACACTGTCTGTTTGTCTGATGAGGTTAGATCTGATACACGCGCAAAACAAACAACAAAACAGCTGTCACACTCTGGAGATGATTACTCTGATAATGTCACTAACTTTGCATTTAAATTTAGTACAACATCAGCTTTTAATAACAAATCATTTGAGAAGGTGTCCATTGCACATCAGTTCACATACAATCTCATTAGACTTGTTTTCAAAAAGGGACTCTCCTGATCACTCCAAATGCTTTCCCTGCAAAATCTGCAGTTTTCACTAATTTGTTAAGGTGTACCTTGAGATCCAATAACTCAGAAAGTGAAAGTGCCTGCTACTGGAGAAGAAAATTGGTAATCTATTGAAACAACCATCTGCCTGTTTACGTTGGTTGCAGTCAACAGTAAAAAGCAAAAGACACTGCACACTTACTACTTCAATACGTTTAGTGCCAAAATTCACTATATTCAGTCATTTTGAATTTTGTTGCAGCCTAACATATGTTGTAACACGTGGTGGAATTTTATGTTTAATTAAAAAATGTCAAAATGTGTTTTGTGAAATTCTATTTATTGAAGTATGCCAGCCACATCTGAGAATGTCCGTTATCATGAATTGTTAAAACAAATGAGTGGAAAGGAAGGTTCCCTATGGCAACTGTACAGATCTACTAGACCTAGATACTTATTACTTACTTACCTGTGCATCAAAGCAATTTTGTCTTTAAAGGGTATTCATTCAGTGTTGTTAGGCAAAGGAATCAAAAAGAGGGACAAGGGGTCTCCATGCCAACACAAATGTGGCATCTACAAAGAATTGATGCAGATTTGCAATAAAACACTCACCAAACAGAAATACAAGGAGGTTGGCCTGGTGGTTCAACTACATAATCCATGATTAGATGGTCAAAGTGAGCAGGCCTTTGGGTTGAAATTACACCAAATATAAGTATTTTTAGTATGTTTGCCATTTCAATTGTATATGGAAAACAAAATTCCTGGAAGACGATGACTAGCTGTGGTGGCAACAAAGGAAAAGTCAAAATTAATAAATAAATACATAAGAAAATAAATAAATAAATAAGACAACCTGGTGACCAGAGTGGGGGGTTTGTCACCCAAACTGTTGGCATCAGACCAGACTATGAATAAATAAATGAGTCATCAGGGCTTGAATATGGCCTATAACAAAAGCAGAATTATCATATACACCTATCTAAAACATCAGCACCAGTTATAGATCTCATATAGCATCATTGTGTTAATACTTTTCTGGAGACACATTTTACTTCCATTTTGAAAGCAGGTGTGACACTGTGTAGGCATTCTCCAGCAGCAGGACACGGAGCAGAAATATAATTTGCTAACACATAAATCAAGTGTGCAAAGAGCATTAATTAGAAATTCATTAAAAATTCAGACTCAGCGGCAGGTGTGCAAATAAAGGATTAGCTAGACATCAATTATACCACATAAGAGAACATCCTAATTGCAATTCCTGGATTGATTTACAGGGGGAAACAATCAGGCCGCGTGCAATATGGCTGATTGCTCATTTTCCGGAAAAATAATGAGGAAAACACCTCACCAGGTAGCTGCGTTCCCCTGCTGCAAATGAACACACTCCACTGTATTCGTCTGTTTGCCACATTTTAACACTAATCATTTAGAAATATAACAGGTAGGAGTCTATTAAGACACATCGCCCAATAATTACCTGCACACATACAAATATATACACACATCCATTACGGCATGGCAGCCCATCTGTTTTTGGGAAGTTCTTAAGCACCAAATGTTGCAGCGTTACGGCTCAAGTTTTGTAGAAATCTCCCACCTCCTCTGTGTTCCTGATTACCGCATTATGGCATCTGCTTAATTAGCTTGGCTGGAGTGGTATGTTGCACACTTGGGGGTGGTAAAAAATGCCCTTCCCTCTTGCTCATTATCTGCCTGGATTCATGTGATGGATAATCTCTCCTGACAGACATCGGTATTGACATAGAGGACAGCTGTCAGTGATGCGTGCCCATAAAATAAATAAATAAAATAAATAAAAAACTCGCAGAAGGAAAGGCACATAGGTGTAGACGCAGCCAAAATCCTCACTCCAAACTCCTCGTGCTTCATTTCGGATCTGTCGATGCTGCAACACTTCTAATTACACTGGATTTAATTTTATGGATGAAAGTTTTTTGGGGGGAGACGGGTGCATTTTGATTACTACAGGTAATGCTCAAAGTAGAACCTCCTGCCAGTGTGTTTTGTAAATTGGTTTGCTGTCCAACTCTTGGCTAGAAATCAACCTCATTATTGCCATGTGGGAATATCGAATCATTATCTGCAACGTGCTTCTGGGCGATTATCCCGCCATTTGCAACTTTTTCTTGATGGGGTAGTGAGAGTTTGGACAAAATTGTGGCTTGTTAATAAGGTGAGGTAATATAGTTTTAAGGCTTGGCAATCAAAAGCGAGCATCTCTGCCATTCCAGCAGGATTTTTATGAAGTAAACTACAGCCTCATTGCACCGTGAACCTTGTGTGTTTAATGACTATCCACACATATCCACTTGTTATGGCTTATATAGTTATTACATATACTTGTTTTATAAAGGTTGTGACGAGCTTGTGGTCTCGCAAAAGATTGTGCAAACTCCATTAGCCTCTGTATGATTTTGTGCCCCTTTTGTCAGCTTTCTGCAGCTTCTGAAACTAAACTAATTGGCATTTTTCATATACTGAACATTTCAGTTGTAATTACAGATATGATTATACTTTTTGTTCGTTTCTGTCAATAGTTTGAAATAGGGTCCAAAATGGGTTGCCTCAGATAACAGCATATTGAGTGAAACAGTTTTATAACAAGATCATCGGATCCCAATTCAACATACACTTTATATTTGAGGCAGTTATACATTTCTTGTAGTTCAGCGACCATGACATCGGAATGAAAAGCAATGTTTGGAGTGTATGAATATACATTTTCATTATGACACTGAAAATATTAAGGTGAAAAGGCTTTGTCAATTTTAAATATGTGTTTATTGTGGAATGACATGAGAGCACCCAGATGCCAACATTATGTTCCATTTTTGCAAATAGAAGCTGTGGCTCCTTGTGGACTTTTAAAACTAGCGACAAAACAACATTGTTTGTAAAAAGTAAATTCAATGGCACTTTTGTGTTGAGTATTCTTCTGTGGACAAGAGCCTTTAGAACAGCATTCATTTAAAAACACGTCTAGAGATACTTATTTGTCAAGGACTATTATGGAATAAACACTTTTTCACAGCACTAAAACTCCAGTGTGCTTCATCGATGGCTAATGGACCAATGCTCTCCAGTGTCTGGGCCTAAAGAGAGTGGAGAGGCCAATTAGTGCATGTGGCTTTGATTAGTCCTGATTCCACCACACTGCGGGAGGAGCGTAAAACGACTTTATCAGTTTCTCTTCATACTCTTTTTGACAGAAGCCCTACCATGGGAGAGTGTATGGAGCTTCATGATATTAACAGGTAAATGTGAACATGGTAACTAAAGCACAATGCCCATGGCTAAGTCCATATACCTACCCAGAGTGAGTGCATGTGAAACTGAAATAAATGTCTACAGATGCATGAACTTGCCCTAAAAGAGGTTTGCTTACTCTGTGATCTCATTCTTAAATGAAACCAATTTGCCTAGAAATTGGTTCTTGGGCCTAATGCTGAACTGGGTACATCAGCGGCACTGCACACGCACAAACACTTTCACAGTCACACCATTTCCAGCCCTTCCCTCGCCGCAAATCATGTTGGACTTTGAAGTGCTAATTTTGGAAGTTTAGCCAATTTTTATTTGCTGCTTTGAAATGTATCCCCTAAGCTGCTGCACCAGCAATGAAATATACAGACCTTTACAATGAGGGATAAGTGACCAAAATGAGAAGCGCTGGGTTTTCTTCCTCACATTATATAACTGTGAATAATCCGCACAGAGCACTTCTCCTGTGCCATCGCCGCTTCAATTTAGATTTCTAAATATTATGCAGACTTTCACTTTTGCCTCATTCTTCAATCCCTCCCTAAAGTTACTACTCATTTAACCCTTTTTTGACCAGAAGTCATTTTGGGATCAATAACTATTTATTTTATGCAAAGCAAAAATACTCTATTCAAAGTTTTTTGACTGATGTCCAGTCATTGCTTGGACCTTATAGTTTCACATATTCTGCCTGTATATAGATCCACAGTGCAGAGGCTCACGCAGATACTAGACGCCTTTATTTATTTATTTTAGATAGCCCCTTCAAGTGGGTCCTTGAAAAAGACATAAATTGACTCAAAATAATAGGTCTTCTTGTAAGTTGTAAACTTGAAATATTTCAGTGGAAATTTGTCTGGGAAACTGTAGTTGCTGGTTCATATCCTGCGCATCCCTAAACAAGACACTTTTTCCCCCATAGACAAAAGGAAAGGACAAAGCACATTGCTGATGTACATTATCCAAATGTGCCATTGCCATTCAAGAATGACCT